GACCTCTATAAATGCCCTTTGCCTCCCAGCTCTTTCCTCTATTTCCCTTGATTCTCCTCCTGTCCCACTATCATGCTCAGTCCCCACCAGGATTGTGAATGACTTTTTAAAGTACCATGAACCCCCCACCTCCAAAAACCACCACCCACATTGCGACACCGTCTTTGCCGCATCCACATCCTGTGTTCTGGATTGGGCAGACAATGTGTGCCAGGTGTCTGCCCACCCACCACACACCTTTTGTCAATTCGGCTACTCTCCAACGTCACAGTAGACATCATTACTGATTTGATCCTCGTATTTTTGTGCTACACAGGAAATGCAGATGGTAAATTTGTCACCTAAGTTCATTAAAAAAAAAACTAACATTCAGAAACGGACAGATGCTTTTTTTTTCAACTAGCAACTTAAAAAGAAAAAAAAATTGAACTTTCTATACAAGCAGCAGCCAAGACTCCATGAAAACATAAGTGTTCTTTCTGGAGGTCTTCTCTGATCAACCCAAGGTTTCTGTAGGGCACCATCCCCACCTCCAGCCCATGGCAACCCAAGTACCAGAACCATCGTCAGAGGCTGAATTTCAGATTGTGAGGCCTTTCTTCCTAGGTAACTCTGGATGGGCTCACACTTCCCATCTCTCAGTTCGCAGCTAAACCTTTTCACCACCCAGCAACTCCTCTGAAGTCCAGCTGGGACATCTGGGTTCCAGTTTCTGTTCTATCCCATCTAGCTCTGTTGGCAGCAAAGGCACAATCTGGTTATTTCCTGCTCAAGCACTGACCAGAAACATGGTCACACTTCCGTCACGCTCCCTGTTCTTCCACAACCGGAAAGATCCTTGAATCTTGAGAACTTCTATCCTCCACACCTGGCACTTAAATTATTTAATATCTGCTGGATAAATAAATCTTTATTTCTGGAAACTGAGGCAGGTGGACTAGATTGTCCTTTGCAATCCTGATACATATTAATTTATAAGTTCAAAGAGCTGCGGTTTCCCTCCTCTAATTTTAGTCTTTAGTAATTTTTTCCCTTTGCCTATTAGCACTACTTTCAAAGTAGGGCAGATTTGCTCTAATCTAATGTGGAATTAAAACAGTACGAGCTAGGGCAGTTTAGAAAGGATCTCCAGGGGAGTGACATTTGCTGTTGAAACACTTCCCTCTTGAAAGCTGCTTGCTTCCAAAACATTAGAACATTAAGGAGGTAGGCACAGCAGATTTCAGAACAATTCCGACGGAGGGTTAGTTCGGGCTCTAAGTGGTGGAGATGCTAATGCATAGAGCATGTTGTTGACAAGTCTGTTAAACCCAGGAACGTAGTGTAGACGGCTGCGGCAGTCCTTTATGCCCACAGAACTCCAGGAACCTGTGACAAGAACTGCAGCCTTGCAGAGCAGTGTACACTACATGTACCTTAAAGCCCTTGCAGTGGGCTGTTCCAGGAAAATGTGTGCTTACTTTGGAAGTCCCATTATTTTGAGCAACATTATACACAACCCACAGATACAATGAATTAACTGACAATCTTATGAAATGTTACTATGTTACAAAATTATTGGATAAAACACCTTAATGAAATGAATTTTTAGACTGTGCTCAACATCAGGTGATATATAACATTCGATTGGAAAGGTCAATCAAAAATATGGGATTTTTCCTGGAACCGGACTTGGATAATAAAGAGATGAGGGCACATCTTCAGTGGAGACATACTTAACTCACAGTATATTTGTCTTGTTATAAGCCTCCCGTGGGGGCCTCTGGATGCACTTAATTCAAGAACATCTTCAATAATTCAAGAACAAAGTCATTTTCTATTAACTATAAAACAATACACTCAGAGCTGTAAAAATTATTTTCTCTTAGAAGAAATAAAATCAAATATCCAGGGAACTTTATTTTTAAAGGACAATTCAAAATTAAGACATTGCTTTCATTTACCCAAACATGCATACTCCACCCTTAATATAAAAGGTACTCAATTGGTAAATTACATGTGAAATACAAAGGGAATGCAATTTTACATATGTAAAGATTGCCATCTATAGCCATTTAAATCAAATCAATCAAGATAATATACATTAAAAAAAAAACATTTTAAAGCCAATTTTTTAATAGTAAATCAAGAGAAATTCTGATATGGAATGGTTTGATCCAAAGCAAAAATTAAGGCACCTGCTATGAACTTCGAGCAATGAGTTTCATTTCGAAAGTCATAATAATAAAATAGAATTAGTTAACCGAGACAACTGTTTCAAGGAAGGAAACATGTACAGGGGTTGATTTTCCCGTGAGAAAGGCAGGTAACAATGCAGGTAGAACCCCAATAGCCCACGGGTCAGCTGATTCCTTTCCTAATTCTGATGAGCAACTTAGCCAACCTGAGTAGTCAAGGTCCCAACCTACAAGTTCTTCACCACTCCCCCCCAGCCCTCCCCCCGACTCAGGGGTGGTTAGCGCTCTCTGAGGTTCAGACTGTGTGGACACTAGGTAGATTTCCCTTCTGCCCCTCTTAAAACGGCTTATTTTTAAGAGCTATCCTGAGGCAATTGACAAAGCGAACAGAAGCAGCTTTCTTCCCAATTCATGAATACATAGACACGCCTCAGGCTTTCCCCAGTTATGCCTACACGAAGAACCAGTACTTGGAGAGTTTTTCAACAGTCTTTGAAAACCCCAAACCTGCTTTACACCTACCACTCTTACCCCTACCTACCATTAGTAAAAAGAAAATCTACTCTAACCTACAAATCATACAACAAAGGAAGACTAAAGATTGATCCTTATCAGCTACCCATTTGATTCCAGATGTCAGTCTAGCCTGATGATCTAGAAACCTATGGCATTTTGATCATCGATACAGAAAAAGCATTTCCAAACCCAGTGTGACTGTTGATTACGGGTTTAAAGGCACTATGAGCATGCTGAGACGCCTTTTGCCGCATTGGACTTGGTAGCACGTCCCGAAGAGGCTTTCATTTTTACCAGGACCTCTTCCCTACAAGTTTGTCTAGCACAGTAAGCCCCTTTGATGTAGTCAGATATTCTGTGACATCAGGATGGCGTGACTATCTTCCCTGACTGTGCTCCACCGTGGTAGCTTTTGCTGAATCTGCAGTGACTCAATTACAAAACCACCAAGTTGTTTTTTTATCTTTATGGCATCTTAGATTAGTATGTTCACTCGTGCAAAATCCAAGGTAGTGTAATAGAAACGGTATTACTAAAACAGATGTTGCGGCTATAAGTATCTCCCTTTACATTAGGCATTTAGAAGCCTTTAAAAAATATTTAGGTGCTAACGGCTGTGGTAACTAGGCTAACTGTATGGTTGTTTCCATTTATAAGCACAATTACAGGACAGTTACATGACCCTATGTGGGAGTGTGCTTCCAATTCAAAAGATAGTAATAAAGTGCCTAGCTATATAAAATCCATAGGTTCCAAAATTTAAATTAAACGAATTTCATGTACATATTAGGGCTAACAAATTCTAGACCTGGTCTACACAGATTTGAAATAATTATCCATACTGCATATGGTTTTAAAAACCACATAGAAAGACTTACTCTTTACTGGCTGAAAAAGTAAGATCCACTACTGTAGCTTAACAACCAAATTTTATTGCTTTATTCATGTGGTGCTTTTGCAAGGCACTGTGGTATGGACTAGAAAACTTGGAATGACTCGTGAGGAGACCTTGGAATGACGCATGAGGGATGGGGTGAGAAGTCATTCTGCCGCAGGATGCTTTACGTAATTGCTGTTAACCAGGGTACCAAACATCAGGAATGAGTTCAAGTTAAAATTCACAGGAGTATGGAAACACCTTAGGGTTTGGTCACTTCACATGCCCATCCTGATACTTTGAATAATCTGGAAAATTGCTGTAACGAGAAAGAACAGACATTGAAACAAGCTTTAAAGGAAATGGGTCGGGGAGTATAATCTCTCATGGGTATTAGAGTAGTTCAAGAACGTTACGTAACGTCAGTGGCATAAGGGGCGACAGAAGGAAAATAAGCGACAGCAGGCATACTGTAATTTTAAAGAAGATGTGCATAACTGATTAATCCAAAGTCTCTACTCTGAATTTTATATCTCAAGGGACTAAAAAGTATGCAGCTATAGCGATGAATGCATCAGAATAAACAGGTATTTCTAGTACAGAATTATTTTGGTTTATCCCCAGATAATTCCCTTTTGTGGACCTGGTACATAATATATACACATTTCCTTATTCTCACAAGGTTGAAACTCAATAACCTTTAAGGTTATATAAATTGCTTGGCGCTTAGCCATCTACCTTAAGAGCCTCCAATTGGTCAGTTCGGAAGAAAAGTGGAAAGTTAAACACAAGGATCAGTGATTTTCGCTCGTTGGAACATGGAAAATCAATATTCCCGTCGATATCAACAGCTTGCACATTAAAATAATAAACGAAGAGGAGAGGATCTGAAATCCATCGGAGGCTGCCCTAATTTTTCCTACCATATGTCAAACTTTTACACCACTCAAAACATTTACCTCCCACATTAAATTTGCAAATCGGGCATATTTCCTTAATAGGTTCCTTAATCGCAACCCTCTGCACTTATAGATTCTGGTATGCGGTAGGGCGAGTTCAAGCATCCATGCGTGTATCATGCGCTTTCACCCTGAGGTTCCAACACATTCTAAACTCTCAATCGGGGTGCGTGTGTTTTTGCGTTGCCTTTTAAATTGTCCAGCCTTGGGTTTCTTCCACTGTGATCATGACCCACAGTCTGACCTCCTTTCTGATCTCCCGGGGGCGCAGATGCCGCTGGAGGCTCGGTGCATATGTGGGGCAGACACTCGGGGTTCGTCCGAAAGAGGGCTATGTGGCGCTCCCGGCAGGTGGGAAGGGAAGGACGCGGGGAGGGACTCGCCACTGATAGGTCACCACGTCATCCCAAACCCGGCACCCAGCACCCGGCCCGAACCCCAGACTTACCGGAGCCACACACAACAAAAATGAAGAGGGCCAATAACCAGGGGCCCACAGATGCCTTTTCTTCGGGCGCATTTCTCTGCAAAAAGGCAAGAGGCACCGTTTCAGACGCAGAGAAACCGTTCGGCCCGGGCTCCCACAACCTGCACCCCGGGCGGTCGCCCAGCCCCCGAACCCTAGCCTCGCAGGTCCCCCTGCACCCCACTTAGCTCCTGCACCCACTTGGCCGGGCCCCCGCCCTCCACGCCC